AAAATTTTAAACTTTTAGCATTTCTCTATTTTTTTTTATAAAAATAATTATCATTTTTTTTTGTAAATTTTATCATTAAATTTAATAGAATGTTGACATAATAATTGGTAACTCTTTAAAATTAATCTATCAAGTATAAAAATGACACATTAATCTCTAATATTTTTGGCCAAAATATTGTAAGAAAATTTTAAACTTTTAGCATTTCTCTATTTTTTTCTATAAAAATCTTAAATGATCACCTTTGTAGTGCCTAAAATTAATCTAAATTAATATTCGTTGTAGTTATTAATAATATCTCTTTTTTTTTCTTGATCAAATATTAAAATTTAACCTCTAATTCAAACTTTTTTATTAACTCAAATTTATTTATGTTATTTTATCATTTTCTATACAAATTTTTGATATATTTTTAAATTTATTACATTTTTTAGATGTGTTTTATTGTATGCTTTTTCCCCATAAATATAATTAGATACTTACTCACTAATCACCAAAATTTTCTAATGACAATATATTTCACATTGAATATAGCCAAGTTTGATTTTAGAGACAAATTTGCAGTTTTGCAATTATGTGTTACTTCCTTTCGGTCCTTCTTAATTATTCAATTTCATCAACTTTATGTTAGTTAACTTAATAATTTTATATAAACAAATTAATGAGAACTAAATTTTTTTAATCGAAGTAAAAATATCAATAAACATTATGTTCAAAGATTAAAAGTTTTCAACTGCCATCTTTATTTGTTAAATAAAATTATCAAATCAAAATTTATGCAAAAATCAAATTAATACAACTAAAACAGACTAAAGAAAATAATACTTTAAACATAAATTTAATTTAAATATGACGAAATTGGCCTCCCCTCATCTCAAAGCCTGCTCCGCCACTAGTTTAGTTTTAATTTGGTACTCTTGGCTTTTGTTTCCTGAGTTTCTTTCTAATCTTTGTTTGGTTGGCTAGAAAATGCATGTAAATCAATAGAGAGAGAAAATATTACTTTTTCTGTTAAAAAAAAAAAAATCAATAGAGAGGGAGTTCTTTTCACGTAAAATCACTGTTAATAATCCAATCTTGATTGTTATGATATGTATTAATCAAACTCTGGTGAGTCTATTAATTGTTTTTTTTTTTTTTTGAAATGGCAAAACTTTATTAAATGAGTACAACTCAAATTCATATACAAAATTAAAAAATTATCAATCACTTAAGTTAATCACTGACTTTTAAACCAAGTTCCAACTACCCATTGTAAAGGAAAAGAAAAGTTAAATCTCCAATCTGTGAATTTTCTACGTGTTTCTCTTATGGAACTACTTTCTCGGCTGTCAAACAATCATGTAGCTTTTGTTTCTCATATATCTGAGCAAATAGTTAGCACACTTAGTCCTATTTCTGTTTTATTTTTCTCTCTGTTTGGACGCTGAGAAAGACGACAAGAACAAGGAAAAGGAAAGAAAGTATTTAACTGCAGTTTCATATTGTTAATTTATAGATTCTGGGTTAAAACTTGTTAATATCAGTTTTGTCGTTTTGCTTTGGCACCATGCATGCTCCATGCATGCATACGCACTATTATTATTTTATTTTATTTTTTTATATTGGTTATATAATGAGAAACAATCATCTATCATTCTTTATCCTACTACATATATATATCATGCGATTTGAATTCAAACTTTTTATTTTCAATGAAAAGAGATAATCACTGAGTTATTTATGTTGTTGATTACATACGTATTATTATTATTTTAGCATATATTAATTTAACCTCCATTGCTTATTTTCAAAATATTAATTTAACCTCTAACGATAGTTATCCTCTCTTATATCATTTCTTTCTTATATAATTTATAATTAAATGCATAAAAAAAAATTCTATCCTTGATTTAGCTACATTGCAGAGTTAAAAACTGAAAGTTCGAAGTATTCATGGCCGGGACTTTCACTTTCAGCGAGGGCGAGTTTGAACAGGCAAGTTTCCTCCACCTAAAATATCATTTTAATTTCTGTTACTTTAGAACGAATATTTATTTGTTTTATGTTGCTTAGTAATGCCTTTGTGTCATAATAATAGACTTTTATTTTTTATTTTATTTTCAGATTAAATATTTGAATAAAACTTATATTTTTAATTATATCATTTTAATTTCTGTTACTTTAGAACGAATATTTATTTGTTTTATGTTGCTTAGTAATGCCTTTGTGTCATAATAATAGACTTTTATTTTT